CCAGTTACATGTCAGAGTATCTCTGATGGTCAAACATTTGCCCTCAGAGGTTTTGAATAGCAACACCATTCCCTCATCATAAAGCATCAAGTAATTATTTTCACAGTTAGCAAAGCAAAGTGTAAGCCACAGCCCACTTCAGAGGCTGTGCACGAATTAAATGGAGTACAACATATTTGGCACACCAGTTTTTAAATGTTATGTCCACCTCTACTACTTTCTGATAATGACCGTCCAGCCCAGGATTGAGAGAAACAGCAGTTTCATCCAGGTGTGGAATCTGGGAAGGTGTTTGTGATACGCTCACTCCTCAAATGCTCATGGTGAATCAGTTTGGATCACAGATGAATCATCTCAGCTGCTACCTTCTTCTAGGAAAAGTACGTGCCACTGCTATACAGCAGCACCAATTACAGAGCAAGAGCTCAGGAGAGGAGCCAACCAATTGTTGGGGAGTGTTCAGAATGGAGGGGTTAGTTCATCTCAGAAATGATGAGGGCATGAGACCATTTTCTAAGCTGGGTGTTTCTGAGACAGGCTTTCAAAGTAGAAAATCGTCATAGGACACAGTGAGCCCTGCCTTTACTGGAATGTGTTTTCCAGCCTCCAAGAGGGGCACTGCTGTATAACCAACTGTCAGCTCCATGGCTCACCGGGCCCAGGGCAAGTCTTCCTGTAGGCTCCTTGCCGAGCAATTGCCCATCTTGCAGACCTGGACCTTCACAGGATAGAGATTAGCACACCTACAGGCTGACCAGGTCACCTCCAAAGCAAGACACTTCCGAGACCAGTTCTTATTGGCTCTGGCAGGTCTGGCAAGTATTTAATCCAAATTCAGATTGTTCACATCTTGCATGCCAGGCAGTATGGCAACGTTAAGTGTAGATTAGAAAAGTGTTCAGCAAAATGTTAGCAATAATTATCTTTGGTAATCAGACTATGAGTGATGTTTATTTTTCTAAATGCTTCTTAATACTTTCACTTTTATTTTCCTACAATGGGCATTGATTTGTTTTAAAGAAGGGCAGAAGTTAGAGTCCCCACATATCGAGAGTTTCCAAATGTCTGTGTTTACTCACCATTTTATTTTGTAGTCTAAGGCATTTATTGTGATATACATTAGGATTTGATCACCATACCTGAGGTCTGTAATGTAATGGATTGTCCACTGTGTGTGTTCGTGGTGATGTAACTGGGTTTGGTGGGACGGCTCTAGGCTTTGGTGTCAGAAGACCTTGATTCATTCCCGGAAGACTTTGACAATTTACTTCATTTCCACTTGTTCTTCCATCCTTCTAAAATCATGATTTGTGGCTACTTAGATGGTCCACAAAGATTATATGTGAAAATGTAGTTTCAAAACAGAACCTCATTCCAACAGTATAAGACAGAATTAAAAAATGACTGAAAACTCTGTGTATTTAAGGTTGTGGTATTAAGGACTCATCTAATGAGTAGAAATCTGCAAAAAAATTAACTCTGTGATTCTTCTATATCTAACATTCTGCTGATTACTTTAGATAGGAGCCAGATGTTTCGTATGTTATTATTTAAGTGCCAGATGATTTAGACTCCAATTGCTTAAAATTATGGCATGTGTTCAGGTTTTCTCTTGGAAATTTGTTTGAATAATAGCAAAAACATCTGTATGCACAATTTTGCATGCATGTTTCTGTGATGTGTATTTTGGTATCCATACAATTACAGATGTGTATTTCAGTATATGTGTAATTGCATGCATACCAAAATACTCATCTCAGAGTGTGTTCATATATTTATGTGAATATATATGTGTGTATATACATATATACATATTTGCACAATATATATACATGTATACATATATACACATATACACATACATATATACATATATATGACATTGAAATCAATATCACTGGGAAAAATACACACATACATATATACTTCTTTTTTACCATTGATATTGCCATTGGTGTTGATATTTTATTTCAAGGTGACTTCCAGTATCAGTTTATGTAGGAAGAAGACCGTTAGACCTTTTTTTTTTAAACAATAATTGAGTTTTCAATTCCTGTAAAATAACTTAATTTTTACTAAAACATTACAATTATCACAGAAATTACAGATTATTTTATTGCCCTGAGGAAATACAAATTAGAAAGGTACTTACAAGGAATTCACGTTAAACAACATGTTGAAATGTGATTATGTTTGTGGCATTTAAAAGTTTGTCCATTAAAAATATTCAGTTAAAACAATACACTTGTTGGAAGCTGTAGTTACGAACAGCATTTATATCAAGCTTAGATGTACATCGTTTAAAAAGAAAACATGTATAGAATATTTGTGCACACTCTATAGTAGGCAGGGGTCCATTGGTGTATAAGATCCAACAGAAAAGAGGAGTACCATATTTACTTTAAATCTAGATTCTATATCTTTGTGGGTTTTAGGGCTTTCCATTCTGTTCCACTGGCTATTTATCTAGGCTTACACCAGTCAAACACTGTCTTAATTACTTTTATGATAAGATGCAGTATTAAGTTGCAGATTACATCAAAATACATCAGATTCTACCTTAGGCATACATACTTTAAAAACTTCTTGGTTGTTTACATTGGACGGCCAAGGATGATATTCACTCTGCTAAGAACTGTTGAGCAGTTTCCAGAATTTCTAACTGGGGCTCTGGAATGTCAATGAACGGATCAAATGTGACTCATTCAGCAACTGCACTGTACTGATTGGTACCCTAAATGCAGCCGAAATGTTACTCCTTGAGGAAATCTTAATATCTGTTAATCTGATTCAACCTGATGGGTCTATAACAGTAACTACTTTCCAGCTGACGTTTTTCTGTTGAACTGATTTTTCTTTTTTCCAATTTATAATCACGTCTTCACTTTTTTTTGATTTACCGTTAAGCAAGAATTCGTAAACCAGAAAAGCTGTTTTCTTTAAAGACCTTTCAAAACCCCACAGCTTTAATATCTACTTGTTACAGTGTTATTGTTAGACTTAAATTTAGTGGAAAATGGGCTTCTTATTAGTTCTCTGGTTTTAAACTCATAAATCCCTTTCATTAAATCTTTTTATTAAGATTTAGCCAACTCCCACAAGCGTTTGATAATATTACTGTGAATGATTTAAGCTCACTGAGGTCTACTATTATAAAATACTTTTTAAGTATAAAACGTAGTTGAAAATAATTTTCTGTGTGTACTTTAAAAATAAAACTTGAGGTAATACTTGTATTCAAGTACTTACACTACATGCCACAATCTGAGTACACCCAGGTCCCTTCAAAACTTTCTCAATATTTTTTAGTGTCAAAACATGTAAATGCATTTAAAGCACATTAGTGGGAAATGGGCATATTAAGAAGGTAAGAAACATAGACAGTTTTCAGGAGCTACTTAACAACTAACCTCAGACAGACAAAATGTTGGAAAGGTTTGAGCGGGTTATCCTGTTCCCTTGTAGGATAGTAATATTTACGGGCTACATGAGCAGGGTGTGTTTATGAGAGCACACTTACAACGATCTGTCTGCCCTGTTCTCAGATTCTGCCCTTCTTCTTTCAGTTGGATTGGCCCAGGCATGGCCATCACAGGCAGACTGTTACAGGTAACTGAGCAGAAAAAAAAAAAGAAAAGAAAAAAAATTAACCACAGGGACAAAATTAGCTTGGCATGGAAAGCTTGTATGTGGGAAGTAACGTGGGAAGGGGAAGGGCTGAAACAGGCAAGTAGGGAATCACCGTGCAAAGTAGGTGGATGAAGATCAGGAGGAGCGGAAATGAAATGCCTCGGTGAGGTTGAGAAGGCAGGCATTCGGTTTATCTCGTGATACAAATACAATAGGTGGGTCAGGTGTGCAGCTGTTACTAATCTCTGAGAGCTGTTCTTTCAGCGCTCCGTTCTTGCAGGAAGTCTGGGGCCTGCAATTTCTCAAGGGTTCTGTTCTTTGGAACTACTCTAGAAGTCTGGGAATCGTCTGAGAAGTGCTTTGTTTGAATCAATAACACAAAATCTTTGGGGGCAGAGGCAGAAGGAAATCAGTTCCTCAGACACTGTTCAGTAGCTTGAAGGTGGCTTTGTGGCGCTCAATTACTGTTCAGTCCTCATCATTTCCCATTGTCATGTCAATCCTAAACCCTCAGGGTAATCCCAGTTCCACCTGCCAAAGGGAGGTTAGTATGGGAGGGCTGAGTAAAATGTGCGATGTCCTGCAGTGCTGCTTAGGGATGGCTAAAACACTTACTGCTCATTGCAACTCTGAGCCTTTTCTTTAATTGGTCCCTTCATTATGTGATGCACTTTCCTTTCTCCTCCACCTCCTAAGTCCTGCCTGTGTGATGGGTAGACATCAGTAGAGAGGATGTTATATTCCTCATTTTGCTGAGTTGCTCTTTCATTTGAGTGTCATTTAACTTACCTTGTTTTACGCCTTTTATTTTCAATGTAATAAGCTTCCTTTATGCATGTGTTATTCTTCTGCCCAGTAAGACATTTGTCAGCACAGGCAGAGATCAATCATTGGCATACTGACCATGTTTTTTCCTAACTATTCTTATTACCACATATTGCAGTTATGTAGCTATGCAAACACGTGTGTATATATATAGTTTTATAAAGTTTATTTTTCTCTTAGTTTCCACCAACAAAGAATTTAGGGTGTAGTGTTTTAAGCATGGTACTACGTAGATAGTTGGCACCAAATTTGTTCCCCATGAATTGAAGTTTGATATTGATGAGGCTGTATTTAAAAATGACAGGAAAAAGAATTTCCCTAAACTTCTAATATGAGTTACCAAATGTGGCATATTTTCTTTCCTTTTAATTTGTTGTACTTCTCTATCTTTCAGAACTGCAGAATACTTACAATTTATCCTTCAATATTTGTGCAAGAATTATAAAATGTTATAAAAGTTGGCTAAAGTGGTTAGAAATTTTAGCAATCGCATAATATAGATGGCCAGAATAATATGCTTTGTGTGTGTGTGTTTTCTCTTTCAGGTCAGAACTGTGGAGGCTTAGTCCAGGGTCCCAATGGTACTATTGAGAGCCCGGGGTTTCCTCACGGGTATCCGAACTATGCCAACTGCACCTGGATCATCATCACGGGCGAGCGCAATAGGATACAGTTGTCCTTCCATACCTTTGCTCTTGAAGAAGATTTTGATATTTTATCAGTTTACGATGGACAGCCTCAACAAGGGAATTTAAAAGTGAGGTAAAGTATCAACTTTTTATGTTATAGTTTAGTTAGTACTGTTTGAATACTTAGATTCTGAAATCTAGTTGGAATTAATATTTAAATTTCATTGTGTCCGGAGTTGGTTCCTTCTGGTGGATTCGTGGTCTCACTGACTTCAAGAATGAAGCCGTAGACCTTTGCGGTGAGTGTTCCAGCTCTTAAAGATGGCAGGGAAACAAAGAGTGAGCAGTAGCAAGGTTTATTGTGAAGAGCAAAACAACAACATTTCCACAGCATGGAAGGGGACCCCAGCAGGTTGACACTGCTTTTATGCCCTTATTTGTCCCCTCCCATGTTCCGTTTCTGTCCTATCAGAATGCCCTTTTTTCAATCCTCCTTGTGATTGGCTAGTTTTAGGATACAACTGATTGGTGTGTTTCGTAGAGCACTGATTGGTGCATTTCACAGAGTGCCAATTGGTGCATTTTACAATCCTCTTGCTACAGAGCGCTGATTGGTGTGTTTTTACAGAGTGCTGACTGGTGCATTTTACAATCCTCTTGTGAGATAGAAAAGTTCTCCAAGTTTCCACTCAATGCAGGAAGTCTAGTTGGCTTCACCTCTCATTATCAGGAAAGAAAAATACAGTTACTGTAAGAAAACTTGAAGACTATCGACTTGTGGCAAATTGCACATACTTTTTCTATACTTAAAAATTTAACTTTTTATTGAAAATTATCAGTGACTTCGTTTATAGATATCAAATTGTTCAAGATCTGTGAAACAGAGTTGTCAAGGTAATTTAAATAAAATTATAATACACCATTGTTTTCAAGCAACTGTGAGTTTGAGAGAAAAAGAACAAAGATAAATGCTTGAGTACAATTCAGCTAATCAGAACAAAATGAACCCTTATGTTGTCAGCGAATATATTCAGTGAAAAGAACATAGGAGGTGGGTGAGGTAAGAACATTCAGGACTATTGCATTCTTTGGAGAATTTGTGGTTTAGACAATAATGGTACAATCTATTCATAATTGGTTTTCTCTTTTGATCTATAGTTTATACAATGAAGAAAGCAAAATATTTCCTGAGATGATTTTAAATTATATTTTTTCAGTTGTCAGCAAGAAAAAATTGTACCTGTACAACTATATCTACTTTTTGTTTTCCATTTGGCAAAGGAGGAAGCAATATCCCTCCCAAATAAATCAGATTTTCTTAACAAAATTGATGAACTTATATAGATTACTGATATTAATGCCAACAGTAATACACACAAAAATCATATGCTTCATTTATTATTTTATGGGATGAGAAAAAAATCTCTGCACAAAACACAATTTTATGTGTACATCTAATTTATAATATTTATGTCAATATATATTAACTACATAACTAATATGTCAAATATAAAATGTATTCATTAATATATTTTCAAATATATTTTATTTGAGTTTTTTTCACTCATTTTCAAATACAAAACACCGAGTTTTTTTCTGGGTCATCTACAGTATCTATTTATTTTCAGAAGCATTTTTACCTTCAGTACATTGTAGAATGGCCATCTCTTTTCTGAATCAGTTAGCTAAGCTTTCATCTCTCCTTGTATTACATTTATGGTCTTACATGTGAGTATTTGAACAAAATATCTACATATGCAATATTTGATAATTTGATGTAGGCTTTCTTAAATAATTTATGCTCTTCTAAATGTTAGTAACTTTTTTATTCTCAATTATTGATGCTGCTAGGGTATAGTAGCATTTTATAATTGTAATAAAACCTGCAGAGTTATAGAAAAAGAATTACATAATCCATTTTATTCAAATACCGATGTGTGTGACCCTACATTAAAAGTACCACTTAACCTTTCCATTAAAAAATTCCTGTTAAAAGTATGCACTCTTAAAAATATTTCCGTTTTCTTTCTCTCAATATTTTTATTTAGTCTGTTTCTTTCACATATAGAAAACCTGTCTTAATATTAATTTGATTGACAGGTATGTCTTTCAATAAGGTATTATCTCTTATGGTCTTATGGTACTATTATCATTTTATGTAAAATATAAGACAACATTCTTACCATCTTCAATATTATAACAGGATCAACAGTGGAAATGTTAAGTTAGAACAATTAGGAACATCATATTTCATTTTGGAGTTTCAATGAACAGTAAATAAATTGATATCTCAGAGAGCTTTATTGGTGAGTTATATGTACAACACAATGGTTTTTTCTTTTACTTGCTGGGTTATATTTAGTAGAGGAAGCAAAGGAGGTTGATAAGAGACTACTTGGGTTCATACGAATCACTAATTACCGACAATTTTTTGTTTGAAAAAGAGAAAAATACGTCATATTTCTACCTGTTTCTTGTCCTTGGAGTTAGGATGCTACTTTCATCTTGATATTCCATTTTATATTTCTTTCTCCTATCCACATACATAGAATGCCATTTTGAGGAGACATTTGAGGGATGCAGAGTGATTTCTTTGGGAACTGTTTAGAGTACTGTAATACAAGTTGGAAAAACACTCAATGACTGCTAAGTGCTACGGGTCTCTACTATTACAAAATGTGAAATACAAAGATGTGAAATTGGAATGGGAATGTTATCAGGGAAAACACCTGAGGAGGTGCTTTCCCTTTCAACATTCAGGATGAGTTGATGGGGAAAGTAGTTATAAATAGTAGCAAATTCTAATTAATCGGGAAAGGGAGCACTCTAATGCTATTTGTTTCCCATTATGCCTTGAAACAGTTGTTTATTTCTCAAACGCAATTAACTAGCAACACTTAAAGCAGCTCTAGAATTCAAAGGAAGGATACTTTTGTGGGAGGATTGATGTAGGAGCTGTTGATCCACTGAGATGTCACAAAAGTTATTACTTAGAGCTGTCTTGGTGTGTTGTTGTTTTATTGCATAAAAGCTATTTTTAGAAGTTCAAAATGTGCACTAACTAAAATACAAAAACAGTTGTTCTGTTAAACAACTTGAGCATTTTTAGTATCAATAAATTTCTTTCACATAACCACTGGAGTAGTTTGGTTTCCTAAATAAACTGAAGAGGCAGATTTAATCCCCAACTGACAAAACAGAATATATAGTTTAGAATTATTGATGCTTACATTGTAACTGGAACTTTAGTCAGAAATGTAGTTTTATATAGCTATGTAAAAATGTTTAAATAATTAATATACCATTTATATTATCTTGGATTATTTCTTTAGTACAAACACATCAACAATATATACATGGTTTGTGCCCCCATCAAAAAATTAAATTTTAATGATGTGGATATTGAGAGCTGAAATGAGACCTCTCTTGGTAAGCATAAGGAAGAAATTTTGACTCAAAATGAAAAAATGAAAAAATCTGATCTTTGCGTTATTTAGAATTAAAGCAGCTCTTCTTTTTTTTTTTTTTTTAATTTTTTAAATGAACTGTCAGGTGGTTGCTGTTTTAAACAGCTGAACTTTATTGACTCTGTACTTCCTCTCGCTTCACCAGTCTCCACCAAGTTCCAACCATGTAGTCACCAAATCCCAAAATGATTATTTTATAACATCTCTTGGGCTGGGCATGGTGGCTCACACCTGTAATCCCAGCACTTTCGGAGGCTAAGGCGGGTGAATCACCTGAGGTCAGGAGTTTGAGACCAGCCTGGCCAACATGGTGAAACCCCATCTCTACTAAAAATACAAAAAATTTAGCTGGACATGGTGGCAGGCATCTGTAAGTCCAGCTACTCGGGAGGCTGAGACAGGAGAATCCCTTGAACCTGGGAAGTGGAGGTTGCAGTGAGCAGAGATCATGCCACTGCACTCCAGCCTGGGTGACAGAGGTAGACTTCGTCTCAAACAAAACAAAAAGAAAAACAAGCAAACAAACAAAAAAAACTTTCCATTAACCATAACCTGTTTTGATCCTCATAGTAAATGTTCCTACAAAGCCTCCTGTCCTGTCGCAGGCTGTCCTGAGCATCCAGGTAGACCAATGCACGATCCTTTCCTGCCCCAGGTTCCCCTCTTGGGAACACGGACACATCTGCTGCTGTCCTAGCCCTGGTTTCTATTTCTGGCAACATAAACAGTTTTAGTACCCATGACCCTGAAATTCAAGAAACTCCATGATCGGCCTCCAAACTGCATTCTGGCCTTCAGTCTCTCCCGTTTGTTCCCTGACAAGTTTTCTTGTTCAGTTGTACAGATCTGTGGGTTACTCCTTGACCTGACCTTACAAGAGAATGTTGTCCTCTTATTCCTGGCCTCTCCCTCTACTAGTCTAAATATGCATCTTTCAAAACCCAGTGCACCTTATATTTATTTCAGGAAATCTTCCCTAGGCATTCCAGACAGCAACCCATGTACATTTTCTGTGTGTGCGTGAACTGCTGTAACACTGGCCACCGACATACACTTGGAAGCCTGTGCTCCTTTGTACTCACACCTGCCCTGAAGTTACCTCCCACTGGGGCTTGTATATCTTTGTACATTCAGATGTCTAATAGAACATAATCCTCTGAGGCCAAGAAATGTGTCCTGAATGTGTCTTCTCCAGTGATTACTGATGTCTTGACTTTATTTCCACCCCGTGCCGAGATGGAGTTTCGCTCTTGTTGCCCAGGCTGGAGTGCAGTGGTGCAATCTTGGCTCACTGTAACCTCTGCCTCCCAGGTTTAAGCAATTCTCTTGCCTCAACCTCCCAAGTAGCTGAGATTATAGGTTTGTGCCACCCCGCCTGGCTAGTTTTTGTATTTTTAGTAGACATGCAATTTCACCATGTTGGCTAGACTGGTCTAGAACTCCTGACCTCAGGTGATCGCCCACCTCAGCCTCCTAAAGTGCTGGAAAATAGCCTGACTTTCAAATCATCAGTAACAGTTCGTGGGGCAATTCTGAATTACAGTATTCCTGATTCAGGGCCACTCGCCACTGCCACTGTGCAGAGAACCCAACATTACTTAATATAACTCTCTCTTAAATGAGCGCGAGTTAACCATCCCATGTGGTGACTGATAATTGGTACATG